CAGACGCGTGAGCCCACAGAGTGGCGCCGTCCTGTCGCTGGCTGGTGAGGAAGCGTGTGGTCTGGCGCTGCCAGGTACCGAACTCGATTGGGCGTCCCTCCGCATCGAAACGGAGGCGACGGGCCTCCATAGCGGAGCCCATGCTAGAGGCGGCTGGAGCACGGCGGAGGCGGAGCTAAGAACGAGGAGGAGGAGGACATAGACTAGGCGTGAAATCGTGGATCGCCAGCTACAGGTGCGAGGAGCGAGGTATGAGTGGCTAAAACGGCTCTAACCTAGGTGACCGGCGAGGGAGAGCGGTTGCCAGCCGCTGAGGGATAGACCAGTGTCAGCAGATTTGGGGAGGGCCTCGCGCACAAGGCGGCGGTGGGGCTAAGGTGATGAACAGTGAGAGAGGGGAGGGGAGGGCGGTTTTGACGGTGGGAATGGGCGGGAGGGCGGTTTTGACGGTGGGAATGGGCGGGGAGGGCGGTTTCGACGGTGGGAATGGGCGGGAGGGCGGTTTGGACGGTGGGAAAGGGCGGGTGGGCGGTTTTGACGGTGGGGATGGGCGGGGGCCAGGGCGTACGGGCTAGGCGCGGGCCTGGGCGACGGGCTACGCGCGGGCCTGGGCGACGGGCTAGGCGCGGGCCTGGGCGACGGGCTACGCGCGGGCCTGGGCGACGGGCTACGCGCGGGCCTGGGCGACGGGCTAGGCGCGGGCCTGGGCGACGGGCTACGCGCGGGCCTGGGCGACGGTTGACGCGACGGGCAGGGGGAAGGGAGGCGACGCGACGGGCAGGGGGACGGGAGGTAACGCGACGGGGAGGGGAAGGGGAGGGCACGGAGGGGGGGTTACTAAGGGGCGCGACGTGGGGCGGGCTGAGGGCCGCGCTAAGGGGCGCGAGGGCGCTAGGAGCGCGGAGAGCGCGGAGGGCGCTAGGCGTGACGGAGGGCGCGGAGGGCGCTAGGCGCTACGGAGGGCGCTAGGCGCTACGGAGAGCGCGGAGGGCGCTAGGCGTGACGGAGGATCGATACCTACTCGTGATACCATCTCAAAGTCTACATGCAACGGAATGATTGGAATTAGGGTTTGCAAGCATACAAATAGGAGTCCTACAAATGTTGTACCCTTTAGGGAGTGCCTCACTGCAGCCTATCATAACATTAACATTTGACACAATACATTGTATATTAAAAAAAAAACAATGTAAATGGCTCGAATGCTTACAGCCAACACTTCAGTAGACTCCCAGTTTCGGAAGGGATGATGCGGAATCTTGATTATGTTGCTGTAAGACAGTACACAAAACGTATAGTACATATGTATCAAATGTTAGAAATACATGCATTTAAATTAGAAGTAGAAGCAAGCATTAAAAAGGTGAAAATATTGAACAGAATAGTTGTGATACAACTATGTTCTTAATGAATTCAGAACATTGGTGAACATAGTCAAACATCAAATTATGACCTTGGTATGCTGAACAATCTGACACAATTTCAATGCTGACGGTGTGGATCCGTTCTTGTTTTCCCTGCTGAGAAGAGTAACAGAATGAAGAACAACAGCACTTTTCATGAGACTTAAATTGAAAGACAAAGTAAAAATAAAAAGCGGGTAAATCAATATTATTAACAAACAAGCAATCTCAAAATCGTACCAAAAAAACTTCATATGGAGACTTTGAAATTCGGTGCAGCCTGAAGTGAAGATGCTGATGTAACCCAACTGTTGATGATTGATAAGATAAGCATGTTCAGGAACAAAAAACAGGGTGTTGGATTGTATGTTGGTATATGCAGGAACATAGAAGTCAACACATGAGGTTAATAAATACACACAAGAATTGAGCTCAACTTTCTTCTAGATAGATAAGCTAGGGTACATCATGAAAGGTGATGAGAAGTGGAGACTAGCAGGAAGAGTTTGAAATCGACTTGTTGAAATTTAGTAAAAAAAACTAGATTAGAAACTCATATCTTCACCAAACAGCCAAGCACGTGACTAAGAGAATAGAAGAATATCTCAACTCACTTAACGTGGGGCAATAGTAGATTAAGAAGAGTTGAATGATAGCTTATTAACTAGATAGGTACCTTGAAGGTCTTGAATGTGTTGAGCTTGGTGTGAAGAAGAACAATAGAAGAAGCTAAAGGAAATCTTGAGTTTGGTGTGAGTAAGAGAAGGATGGAAAAGAAAGGGAGAAAGAGCTAGGTAATGCTTTGGGAAGGGAGAAGTGGAAGAGCCTTTCTTGATTGGACACAATGTTGACCAATGGTAAGGTAATTGTTACTGTGCACTTAGACAAAAAAGCAGTTGGAAGCATTGAGCTAGAAACAAAACAACCAATAGAACAATGTTGCTTTTCTTGTTTCTAGTTCATAGTCCATAATCAATTTGTTGACAAATTACAGTTGTACAACTGTTTTTTTGTTTTCTACTTGAAAATCGTTTTCATTTGACAGTTACAACCGAAATATATGACAAAAGCAGAGCAGACGAACGACAACTTTCAAGACAAAAAACAAAAACGTGAGCTGGCGTTTTTCAGTTACAACAGCCACAATGAGCACTTACGACAAGAAGAACAACGTGAAACAGAGGACCAAAGGTTCTGTTTCACGAAACCCCCGTTTCTCCCCCCCCCCCCCCCCCCCCCCCGGCCCCCTCCCCCTCCACATTTCACGCGCGAGATATTCTGCTGACGTTCTCCCCCCCTCCCCCCCCTCCACATTTCACGCGCGAGAAAAACAGCAGCGAACGCTCGATTTTATTTGGGGCGACGCTGCTGACGTCAGCAGTTTTTCTCGCGCGAGAATTTATGTCTGACGTCAGCAGCGACCTTCGAAATTTCGCGCAAATTTCGAAGCTGACGTCAGCAGCGAAGTTCGAAATTTCGCGCGAATTACCTAACGCTGATGACGTCACCGAGACGAAGCTGACGTCAGCACTCCGAAATTTGAAATAACGTTCAAATAATACATCAACAAACATTCTAGAACTGTAAACATAGAAATAAAACCTACAACTACTCATGTAAACGTTCTTATTGATGTAGAAAAAATCAAGTCTACCACGTAAATACTGAGGAACAATTAAGAGCTTCAACTCAACATTCACATAAGAACATACCGGTAAAGAATGCACAGATATTCCTAATTTAAATATGACGATGTGATCAACTTCATTCAAAAAACTTTTAGAAAGTTACACTTGTTGCTTCGCAACCCTAAGACGATTTCGTCGCCTCTTGTTTTTTTTTGTGGCGGTTGGCCGTGTGTTCTGACACACAGGATGAAGTGGCCCAACCGCAGTCGAAGATACGAACTGTACAGCAATGTTGTGGTGCAGAAAATCTGGCAGCTTTGCTGCAGAACAAGCTGCTGCGCTTAGCACACAGGGCGGTGACAAAATGTTTCGGACCCGAGCGGCCGTTATGTAGTAGCAAGGTTACCCGACCACACAGGCGAAGAGAAGTTGTAACAATCGCAAGTAACATTCTGAACTCCCAGATTCGCAGATGAACCAGTCGGATCAGCTTGTTGCCCGTACACAATCGGGCTGTGGGGATGCGCATGCAGAACAGATGGCGGTTTTGATGATGCGGGAGTAAGGCGTATTCTGGATTCCTGTCGATTTCGGTAATCCGCCACTTCTGGTTTCCGGAATTTGCATCAAGTCAGAAAAACATCCTTGTCGCTTTTATGCGTTGTGGCCTTTTTTCTTCCGCAAACCAGAAGCAACTGGGGGTTGTACACCCTCATTCTCAGTCTGTGCACAATCGCCACATGAACATGCCAGCTGTAATGACATCAATGCGTCCAACATGGTCCAAGAACATACGCTGTAAGCACATTTGCCGTACTTAACCGTACGAACAACTAACTGTAAGTTTACCGTTGTTTACCGTTCCCCGGGAGTGCGTTTGCCCGCCACCTACCTAGAGTTCGGCTCCAAGCACCAGATCGCTAGGGTCCAAGCAATCAGACGCACTGTAGCCAGTGCTCCCAATTGTGCGTAGACTGAGAATGAGGGTGTACTGCACCGCAAAACGAAGCGCAACAGCAGAAGTTGGCGCGAGATTCCTCATCAGCCCACGAGCCCCCAACGCTCGGGTTACCGCCGCCCTGCCGGAGCAGTTGGTTGCTGGTTGGTGAGCTGGTTCGCGGTGGACCAGCAAAGCGGCTGGTTAGGCTCGGCAAGTCGCTGGTAACGCAGTTTTCATAAAATGCCCTACAACGACAGAAGTTCGCAGACGGAGGCGAAATTTATAGGTTCGGAAATGCCACACCTCATCTTCCTAGCCAGCGTTCTCACCTAACTCCAACGGGGCGAAGAATAGTTTCGTTCTTGTCTAGCTGCACTGCGCGCGCGCGCATCAACAGGGGAGGGAGAAATGATAAGGCAAGCCCGTTTCGATTCGACCAGTAACCCCAGCGGCATCACACAGCTACACCAAGTAGAACAGAGAGACAAGTAGGCGCAGGCTTTGCTGGTTGGATTGACAGGAGGGAGGGGCTGATTGAGAAAACGGATGAGCGCCATTTCGCAGGAGGAGCACCATCATGGACGGAATTCGCGCGGGGCATTGCAGACATTAGAATGAGCTAGTTTGGACCCGTAAGCTCGTGAAGCGAATTAGTTACGAGCGCTGCGACGGGACGAGTTACATAGACAGGAGCGAGTTAGGAGTGGCTTCTAGAGGTTAAACATATTCACCACCCTTTTAGCTGTTACAGTTGAGGATTACCAAGGCCTTTACATCGACGACATCAAAACTGGGTCTCTAAGGCCCTCTGTGCGAGAAGCTACAATATCAGGCGGGCTTGATATCGACGAACGTAGTATGGTACACTGAGACACTGACCATCCCCGCACACCATCTGTCCAGTGGAGTCGATTAGTGTTGTCTCGCTTCCCGTCTCTCGTCTTCAACTCAAGCGCCGCCTTCGGAGGGAGCTATTGTCGTTTCTCTTGGCGTTAGGAAACCACGCGTAAGCACTCGACGCATCAGCCCATGGCGCATAACCCGGTCCCGGGATTGATAGGTCCTGTCTCTGCATTCGCAACGCTAGCAAGAAGTGATTAAGGACAACGCTGGAGGCGCGAATGTTTCTTTCAACGCACTCCCGTATATTGCGCATCAGTTCCCGCCTCGCGTACGTGGCACCCTGTACTGGTTCGGTTGAAGCTCGATGCCGCATGGCCGTCACCTGCAGCTGAAGTATATTCTCAGTTCCCGCCGAAGACTCGGCTCTTTAGCTCGAAGAGTCAGCTTTTGCTTGCGTTTGCTATTTTCGAAGCCACTTTCGAGAAATTCCAAAGCCGTATCTCCTTGTGTGTTGCGCGGCGGGACTGGGGGAGCAAGCGGCGTGTGCTTCTGCGGCGACTCAATAGAAGCTGGGGGACTCAGCCGTTATTTCCTTGCGTGTTACGCGACGGAACTGGGGGAGCTAGCGGCTTCGCTGCTGCAGCTTATTGATCATACGGGCAGTGGTGGCAGCTGTAGCAGTGGCGATTCTGGTAGTGGGCAGTGGTGGCAGTTTTGCAACCAGACCAGCCGTGACACGCCTAGGGAGTCTGTCAGAGCTGCGTTTCTAGTATCGAGTCTCGAAGGGAGGTGAGGATTCGTCGCAATAGCTTGGAGCAGCTTTCTGAAAGCCTAAACGAAGCCGCTGTGTAGATACCATTTACCCGCTTTCCCTTCCGCCGATTGCGGCGGTGGCGGCAGTTGCCGCGTCGTTCGCCGCAATGGACGGCGGCGCTACCAACAGCGGCGGCGGTGGCGGGTGCGGTAGCAGCGGTGGCGGCGGTGGCGGAGGCGGCGGCGGCGGCGGTGCGGGGGAGTTGCGGAAAGGGCCGTGGACGGCGGAGGAGGATGAGCTTTTGGTGAAGTGCATTCGCGAGCATGGCGAGGGTAACTGGAGCTCCGTTCCGAAGAAAGCGGGTGAGCGCAGCCTTGTGATTGCTGCGTGGCGCACGGAGAGGAGAAACGAGAGGAGAATCGAGGGGAGGGGAGGGGCAGGGAGAGGAGAGGAGAGAGGAATGGAGTGGAGTGGACTGAGGAGAGTTGAGACGGTAGAGGAGAGGAGAGGAGAAGAGAGGAGAGGAGAGGAGAGGAGAGGAGAAGAGAGGAGAGGAGAGGAGAGGAGAGGAGAGGAGAGGAGAGGAGAGGAGAGAGAGAGGAGAGGAGAGGAGGGGCTGTTGAGAGGTTTGGTTAACTCCTCCAGAGATGGCATGGCACTATGGCAACATGAGTTTTGAGATGGGGGGGTTGAGCATGGACGGGTCACGGAACCCCTTGGCTATCTCGTTGCATCTCCCCACCCATCCCCGGCACCTCTCCTCCCCACTTTCTTCTTCCTCCTCTCCTGTCCCACTCCACACCCCTCACCTCCACTCCACCTTTTCTCTCTTTCCAGTTCCTCGCCCCGTCAAAACCCGACCCCGCACGCTTCTCCTCCCCTTTGCGTCCCTTGCCTGGGACTGGGCTGCAGCGCTGTTGGAAGAGCTATCAGCAGTGCTGCGCCAACTACCTGCGGCTGGACTGTTCTTTCCTCCACATCCCTTCCCCTTCCCTCCTCAAAGTCGAAACCCTTCCCTCTTCTCCCCCTCTTCTCCTCCCTCTTCCCCCCTCCCCCCTCTTCCCTACCCTCACTTCTCCTGGTGCAAGAGCTGTCGGCTGCGGTGGGCGAACTACCTGCGGCCGGACCTTCCCTTTCCGCCACATCCCTTTTCATCCCCCTCTCTCCTCTCCCCATTCCCCCCACTCCCCCTGTGCAGGGCTGCAGCGGTGTGGCAAGAGCTGTCGGCTGCGGTGGGCGAACTACCTGCGGCCGGACCTGAAGCGCGGCACGTTCACGTGCGATGAGGAGGACCTCATTGTCGCGCTGCACAAGAGCATGGGCAACAGGTGGGTGGTTGGGGAGGGGAGGAAGGGGAGGGAAAAGGGGTGGTTTGAGTCGACTTTTGAGCTGATTCGAAAATCGTTCACGTGCGAGGAGGAGGGCCTCATTGTCGCGCTGCACAAGAGCATGGGTAACAGGTGGGTGAGTGGAGGGAGGGGGAAGAAGGGGTTCGACATGTATGTGTGTGGGAAGAGGAGAGAGCATCAGTAAAAAGGAGGTTGGGGAGCGAGGAGGAGAGGAGAAGTGGTAGTCCTCGTGTGGTGGTATCACCATGCATGTCACAGTGCTGCTCTTGGGAATTCTCAAAAGTCATGCACAGCACAGCACAGCACAGCACAGCACAGCGCTGCTGGTTACAGACAGTCTGGTGAGGTGCGAAGAAAGCTACAGAGCAGCACCCGGGTGGGCACACCACCCATGGCAGCAGGCACTCACATGGACGGTGAGAAGTACCTAAGGACCTTGCTCCTGCCTAACCACCCAATCCTTGGCCCATCTATGTACCTACCTCCTTCCCTGATCTCACTTGACACTCCCCCCCCTTCTCTCTTTCCCCCACTGCACCCCTCCCCCTTTTCGCTTTCCCCTTCCCCGGCCCCATTTTTTTGTTGCTGCAAGGGCAGATAGTGCACGAGATAAGGCTTGAGCTGCCCGGGCGCACGGTCAATGCTGTTACGACCCACTTGTTTGAAGATGGGACCCTCGTGTCCACTTTTCCGTTCACTCCCTTACCCCCTTCCCCTCTCGTTCATCCCGATCTTGTGGTGCTCGCTGTGCTGTGCTGTGCTGTGCTGTGCTGTGCTGCGCTGTGCTGTGCTGTGCTGTGCTGTGCTGTGCTGTGCTGTGCTGCGCTGCGCTGCGCTGCGCTGTGCTGTGCTGTGCTGCGCTGTGCTGTGCTGTGCTGTGCTGTGCTGTGCTGTGCTGTGCGGTGCAGGTGGGCGAAGATAGCCCTGGAGCTGCCAGGGCGCACGGACAACGACATCAAGAACCACTGGAACACGCGCATAAAGAAGAAGCTCAGAGAGGAAGGGCTCGACCCCGACACGCACCTCCCCCTCTCCTCCCTCCCGCCAGGTTGTTCTTCCCCCCCCCACCCCCAACTTCCCACCCCTCCCCCCCGCACCACCCCCGCACCTCACTCCCCCAGCCCCCACCCTCCCCACCGTTGCATTCAGACTCGCACCCTCTCGTTTCTGTTTTTCTCGCACCTGTCGCCATGGCGCCTCGCCCACCCACTCTTCCCCCCTCTCCCATTCTCCCGTACTACCACTCGCCTTGTATCCCTTGTTCCATCCGCACGCTGCTCCATCCTTTCTCGTCTCTGCCTGTATCCGTGGCCCTTTTCACTTGCTTTTGCCTCCCTCTCCCATCAATCCCTTCATGCCAGTTTGTGTGTGCGGGTGGGTGGGGTTGGTCTGGGAGAGAGGGGTTCTGAGGGTGTGTGTGTGTGAGGGGTGGGGTGGGAGAGGGGTGTGTGAGCGTGCTCACCCCTTCTCCTGCCTTCCCCTCCTTCCCTCCTCTCCTCCCTCCTCTCCTCCTTCCACCCCTCTCTCTTTCCCCCGCCTCAGATCACGTACCCAGCAAGCCACACAAGAGGGGCCCTCCCCCAGGTAGCGCCTCCACGCGACCTCACAAGGGCGTCAAGAAGGCCCCCTTTCCCCTCGCTGCCACTACCGCCACTGCCGCCACTGCCGCCACTGCAGCCACTGCAACCACCGCGCATGCAGCCCTTACTGCTGCGCTTCCAGGTCTTCAAAACACCGCTGCTGCTGCTCTCCCTGACCACGTTGCCTCTGCTGTGGCTGCGGCCGCTGCGTGCCTTTCGCCTCCCGACCCTTTCACTGCTGCTGCTGCTTCCGCTGCAGTTGCTGATGGTAGTGCTGTTGCCGCAACCCTCCTTCCCCTGCCTCCTCCTGCCACACATGCTACTGCTCCTCCTCCTCCCCACCCCCCCACCAACCCCACAGCCACCACCACAGCAGGACCATCCTCCTCTGCTTCTGCCTCTATCTCTACCACCTCTGCTTCCTCCTCCCTCACTCTCCCCTCCTCTCTCCCCTCCTCTCTCCCGTCCTCTCTCCCAGTCTCACTCCCCGCACACGCGCCCAGCCACCCTGCGGCCCTGCATCTTCCGGCCTTCACTAGCGCGCCTGCTGGGGTTAATGCCTCAGGAGGCCCGTATAGGTCGGAAGTGGAGCGAATGGGTGTGGAGGAAGGGAGGGGAGGAGGGGCGCAGTGTTTTCCCCACGGGCAAATGGTGAAGTGTGAAGGGTTGGAAGAGGAAAGGGAGGCAGGAGAGGGGGAGGGTGTGATGGGGGGAAGAGGGGGGAGGGGACGAGTGGGTGGAGTAGGAGAGAGTGGGGAGGGTGACTTGGGGGAGGGCGGTGTGGGGGGGTGGGGAGAGGGGAGAGATGAGGGAGGAGGAGGAAGAGGAGGAGGAGACAGAAGAGGGAGAGAGAAGGGGAAAGGTTCAGCAGGAATGGAGAGTTTGGAGCAAGCAGCTAAGGGGCTTGAGAGCCTTCTGAGCGGCAAGACAGAGGGGGACCTGCAGGAGCTACTGCAGCAGCTGCAACAGCTGCAGCAGCAACAGGAGGAGGAGCAGGCGAACAAGGGAACGCAGCAGCAGCAGCAACAGCATCAGGAACAGCAGCAGCAACAACAGCAGCAACAACAGCAGCAGCAGCAGCAGCAACAGCAGCATCAGCACCCCCAGTCACACGTGCGTGCTGGATCCCCCAGCAGCTCTACGAAAAGAAAACCTCAAGGAATTGACGTGGGCAGCACGAGCACTCCCGGGCAGCAGTTGCAGCGGCTCAAGTCGTCATATGGTGCCGTGGGTGGTGGCGCTGCTGGTGGTGGCGCTGCTGGTGGTGGCGCTGCTGGTGGTGGCGCTGCTGGTGGTGGCGCTGCTGCTGGTGGTGGCGCTGCTGGTGGTGGTGGCGCTGCTGGTGGTGGTGGCGCTGCTGGTGGTGGTGGCGCTGCTGGTGGTGGTGGCGCTGCTGGTGGTGGTGGCGCTGGTGGTGGTGGTGGTGCTGGTGGGTGGTGGTGGTGGTGGTGGTGGTGGTGGTGGTGGTGGTGGTGGTGGTGGTGGTGGTGGTGGTGGTGGTGGTGGTGGTGGTGGTGGTGGTGGTGGTGGTGGTGGTGGTGGTGGTGGTGGTGGTGGTGGTGGTGGTGGTGGTGGTGGTGGTGGTGGTGGTGGTGGTGGTGGTGGTGGTGGTGGTGGTGGTGGTGGTGGTGGTGGTGGTGGTGGTGGTGGTGGTGGTGGTGGTGGTGGTGGTGGTGGTGGTAACAGGGACGCATGGGCCAAGGTTGAGGAGCAGGGGGCTGCGGAGGGGCAGCGGGCAGTGACAAACGCAGCACTGGCACTGCTGGGTGGGAATGGCTTGTGGAGGAGTGAGAAGTGGGGCGGGCAACGAGGCAAAGGGGGGGCGCAGGGGGTGAAGGGCGAGGAGGGGTTTGCAAGTGGGGGTGGGATGAGGGAGGAAATGGAGAGGGAGAGTGAGAGAGGAGAGCAGGGGGGGTTCGAAGGGGGGGCAGAGTATGGGGAGGGTGAGGGTGAGTTGGGGGGTGATGGAGGATATGGTGGTGAAGGGAGAGAGGAGGACCCTGGGGCTGGTAGTGGTGCTGCTGCCACTGGTGCCGCTGCGTCTGCTGTTGCTGATGATGCTGGTGGGGCTGTAGGGGGTAACTCTAGAGGTATGCAGCTAGCAACAGCAGGCGATGCAGAAGACAGCGCAGCAGCAGGAGGAGCAGCACAAGCGGCAGCAGGAGGGGCAGAAGGAGAAGCAGAAGCAGGAGGGGCAGCAGCAGAGAGTGGGGGAGCAGCAGAAGTATCCCCTACGAGCGTAATCAGGCAACTCTTGCGCGCTGCTAGACAGTCCGGACGCGCTGCCGCTGCCCCCACCGCCCCTCCGCTCGACCCCTCCGCTGCTCTCGCTGTCTCCCTGGCCAACCACCACCAAGCCACAGCACCCGCTCTACCTCACCACCAGCACCACCAGCACCACCAGCACCACCAGCACCACCAGCACCACCATCACCACCAGCAGCATCACCAGCACCTTCCCCACGCCTCTCCTCCCCCTCCCCAAGCAGCAGCGGCAGCGGCAGCGGCAGCGGCAGCAGCAGCTGCTATGGCGGCCTCTGCAGGGTGCTCTGGGGGGTCGCCAGTCCCTGGGTTGATCTCCGGGCTGTCTTTAGAGCATCTGCAGCGCGTCGCATCGCTGCTTGCTGCTTCTAACCACCTTCCTCGCACGCTAGGTGCCGCGGCAGCACCAGCAGTGGCAGCGGGACCGGGAATGGAGGCTGGTGGCACCGGAGGGGATGGTGCTGCTGCTATGGCTGCCGCAGCAGCGGCGGGAGCTGCTGCTGCTGCTGCGGCGGCGGCGGCGGCTGCTGCTGCTGCTGGGGGGACGTCTGGACCAATGGGATCATCTCCTTTCCTGCACCCGTATCCGTACACTCACTCCATGGCTCATCCTTACCCACACTCTCTCTCGCAATCCATCCCTCGTCCGTACGCGCACCCGCACTTGCATGCACTTGCACAGTCTGTGGTTCCGGGGAATGCAGGGCTGCCACCTGTGGTGCGTCCTCCGGGCCAGGTGCATGGAGCGTGGGGGCGTGGAGGTGGGGCGGAGGGAGGAGGGGAAGAGGTTGAAGAGAGGAAGGGAGTGCAGCAGGAGGAGCACGAGGGCGAGCACGAAAGAGGCGATGGTATGGGGGCAAGGCATAGAGGATCGGAACAGAAGGGGAGTGGTGGTGGTGGTGATGGCCATGGTGACGTCGCTGGTGATGATGAAGAGGAAAAGACGAGTTCTCTCAGGAGAAGGGGGTTTGGGTCACAGGAGCAACGGCAGAGTCAGGGTGCAGAGGAAGGTGGTGGAGAGAGGGTGGCGAGGGAAAGGACACAGACAGGGGCAGCGGCAGGGACAGGTGGAGAGAGGGAAGGTGGTAGAGTTGAGAACAGGATTCGAGGTATGGTGGACGAGGCAATACGATGTCAGGAGGGACTGGCCCCTCTCTCCACATCAGTTACAGCATCAGCAGCAGGATCAGCAGCAACGATGGCAGCAGCAACAACAACAGCAGCAGCAACAGCAGTGCAAAGCTCACGACCACCTCTTGCTCCTTGCTCTGCCTCCTCCTCTTTCTCTTTCTCTGCCTCTGCACCTGCCTCTGGGGCCGCCTCTGCCTTCTCCCCTGCATCTAGCATCCTTCCACGGCCGCCACCACTCAAATCCATGCACCCACCCTCCTCAACCGCAGCTGGAGCGGCAACAGCAGGAACAGCAGCGCTGCCACCAGCGCCAACAGGAGCATCAGTAGCCGCAGCCGCAGCAGCAGCAGCGGCTTCTCAAGCAGCCCTTGCAGGGGCAAGGAAACGGCCGTCCGCGTTCCGAGTGCTATCTGTAGTCATTCCATCGGATAACGGCCGTGCAGACCACCCTCCCTTGGCTGCTCCCTCGCCCGGGGCAGGAGGCGCAGCAGCAGGGATGACTGCCGCCGCTGCTGCTGCTGCTGCCGCTGCTGCGTTCTCTTCTGCTGCTGCAGCTGCTGGTGGTGGGGCTGCTGCAGGGGGCGGGCATGCCTTCATGAGCCCCTTTCCTCCCAGAAGGTGCGTCTGTCTGTCTGGTGTGGTTCAGGCACGGCTTTAATCCCTGTGCGCCTTTGATTGCTTTTGAGGCGCCTCAAAAGTCTCCCCTCTCTTCAATCGCCTCAAAAACCCCTCTTTCCCTCCCTCCCTCCCTCCCTCCCTCCCTCCCTCCCTCCCTCCCTCCCTGCCTCCCGCCCGCCCCAATCCCGTTCACTCACCTTCCGTTCCCGCTCCCTCTCCACTCCTCGCCATCACCCCCTCACCCCGCCAGTCCATGGGGCAGCGACGGGCAGTTCTGGGACATGGCGTCAGAAACAACCGAGATGGAGGGAGTAGTTCTCCCTAGCCCGCACATCATCCCGCCCACGCCCTTCAGTGCGGCCTTCCCCAAGCCGCACAGCGCGGGCGCTGCCGTGCGCGAGCTCACCGCGTTTGACAAGCCCCTCGTGTCACCTGCCGTGCCCTTCTTTCCGCGCACTCGGTCGTTTATCAAGATGGTGAGGAGTATTGCGGAGGAGGAGGGGGCGGAAGGGCAGGAGGGGGTAGAAGGGCAAGGAGGGCAAGGAGGGCAAGGAGGGCAAGGAGGGCAAGGAGGGCAAGGAGGGCAAGGAGGGGAAGATGGGCAGGAGGGGAAGGAGGGGCAGGAGCAGCAGGAGGGACTGGAGGGGCAGGAGGGGCAGGAGGAGGATGTGGAAGGGCGAGGTGGGAATGGTGGTGGTGTTGGCGAGCGTACGGGTGAGGATGGTGGCAGTGGAAGAGACGCTTCTGGTGGTGACATAAACAGTGGTGCTGCTGCTGCTGCTGCTGGTGGTGGTGGTGGTGGTGGTGTTGGTGGTGTGGGGAGTGGTGATGGTTGTGTGGGGAGTGGTAATGATGATGGGGATGGTGCTGGTGGTTTGAGGGCAGGAAGTGCCAGCGGTAGTGGTGCCGCGGATGTGGCAGTGGGTGAAGGAGGAGGAGGAGGAGGAGAAGAAGGGGGTGATGAGGGGGGGAGAGTAGGAGAAGAGGCAGCAACAGCAAAGAAACTTGAACCAAACTCAGCAACTACGGCAGCTGCTTGCCTCCCTGGCTCTCCTACTGCTGTTCCTACTGCTGATCCTGCTGTTACTCCTGCTGCTTCTTCTGCTGGTGGTGCTGCAACCGCCAGTGGAAGTGGGTCAGGGAACAACGGTGATACTACAACAACTGCCGCTGCCGCTGCCATTGCCACTGATGGCGGTACTGGCTCTGGTACTGACTCTCTAGATGCCCCTGCAAACGCACAAGCATCAGCAGCAGAAACAACAGTCCCAACCGTAACCGAGGCAGCAGCACCAGCAGCTGCAACAGCAGCACCGCCAGCAGAGCCTGTAACAGCAATCACCGAGCAACTAACTTCAGGCACCACCAAGGCCGTTGGATCAATCGCGAGGCCGTCGTCGATCGGACGGCTGGGAGATAGCTCTATGATGCCGCCGCCCCGCTTCTCCCCCGCCCCGCCTGGCCTTGCAGCAGTGGCAGCAGCAGCTGCGGCGGCAGCAGCAGCAGCAATGACTGGACCCGTGGAGCTTCTGCCGGTCAGTGCTCTCTCACCCACCCACCCACCACCCAGCCTTTTCCCCATGCCTGGCCCCCTCCTCCCCAACCGAACTTCTTTCCCGCTTGTTTCTTTTCCCAATCCTCTGTCGGTGCGCTGTGCTTGCCTAGCTGTCGGAGCTGTCAGTGCATGTGCCTGTGCCAGCTAGCTTCTCATGCACTGTGTGCTCGCCTTGCATGTCGCCTTATCCTGCTGCAGCACCTCTTGATTGTTGCCGCCCATTACCATCTCCCTGTTGACCCCCTTGTTCTCACTCTTCCCCTGCCCCTCCCACTCTTCCTCTCCCCCTCCCACCCCTCCTCTCATCCTCACACTCTTCCCCTCCCCCCTCACATCTCTCTCCTTGTACCCCATTCTGTCTTTCCCTTTCCCCTTTTCCCCATTCCCTTTCCCCTATCTTCCCTTCCCCCTATCTCCTTTGCCCTTTGCCCGCTCCTCTTTCCCCTCTCCCCTCGCACCTCTCCCGTCACCCCTGTCTCCTGACCCTTCTCCCTCGCCCATCCTCCTCTGCCGTCTGCAGGCGGACCCATCAACGAGCCTGGTGTCCCCGTTGCCGCTCAGCTACTCGCGCTCCAATGCCGCCGCGCCGCGCACCATCCCGCCACGCCCCTGGCTCTCCCTCGACATCCAAGACGCTGCTGATGACGCTCACTAATGGCGCCCCATTCTCGAGGCGCCGCACTATCCCGCCGCGCACCACCCGCCACGCCACGCCCCTGGCTCTCCCTCGACATCCAAGACGCTGCTGATGACGCTCACTAATGGCGCCCCATTCTCGAGGCGCCGCACTATCCTGCCGCGCACCACCCGCCACGCCACGCCCCTGGCTCTCCCTCGACATCCAAGACGCTGCTGATGACGCTCACTGACTTGGCTTTTGGGAACATTCTCGAGGCGTCGCACTACCCTGCCACGCCCCTGGCTCTCTCTCCCTCTCTCTCTCTCTCTTGACATCCAAGACGCTGCTGATGATGCTCACTGACTTGGCCTTTGGGAACATTCTCGAGGTGTCTCACCATCCCCAGCTGCCACGCCCCTGGCTCTCCCTCGACATCCACGACGCGCCTGACGACGCCTGCTGAGGCGGCTCGGCTTCAAAGGGATTTCGCTGACGAAGCTCGCTGAAGGGATCGTTGAAAGGATTTTCGCTGATGACAATCGCAAACTGAACCGATCCACTACCGAGGTGTTCCGTTCCGTTCCGTTCTGGCCATCTGTGCGACTGTTTGCTTGAACAAAATCAAGTCGCCCAGTGGGAATAGCACCCAACCCAACCCAACTGGTTTTCAACCTATCAGGCATCCCTGGCACTGCTGCTGATCATGATGGGGCGTGATGGCATGCCTAGCTGACGTGGTTGTGTCTGGGGCTTTTATTGCCACATGGCTATACGTTAACCTACTGTTGTTCCTTGCTGATACTGCTGCTTCCTGTGCTGCCACTGCTGCTGCTGCCGCCTCCACAGCCGCCGCTGCTGCCTCTGCCGCTGCCGCCACCGTGTGTCTCGGGTGTGGCTGCTGCAGCTGCTGCATGTGTTTGTAACTTGTTACTGAACAACACCCTAACCAGTACTACTAAGCAGCTGGTGCTAACTTGTTTATCTCCCCATTTAGGAAATCGGGATGGAAGGCGGATCTCTTGTTGCCCTGTGGTATGGTGTGGTGTGGTGTGGTGTGGTGGTGTAGTGTGGTCGGCTGCGGGGAAAAAATAGGGATCAAGGTTCTTTAGGAATACTGGTAGCATCTGTTCCCACCTTTCTCAATACGGTAGTAGCTGCTTGTAATATGCATCCAGGCCCTCAGATTGGTTTGGGGGTACACTGAGGCCTCAGGGCAGTTTTGAGGAAATCAGAAATTGCCCTGAATTTTCAGGGCTGCAAAGGGTTATGTATCCTGAAATGTCAGTGCGAAATTTGACTGTATCCTGGCAGTTCAGTGCTACATTTCGTACAGCCCTGTACGTTTCGCGCGTGTTATGTTAGCGGGGGTCGAAATGCTCTCCACATTCGAAGTGTGTGATGCTGGGGTGCACTACATAGAAAAATAGCACAAAAATAAAGTATTCTGCGAGCTATATCGCGTGAAGTGTTGTAGTGGGTGAGGTGCCAGTCTGTAACACAAGAGGTCTCCAGCTGGATTCCCGTTGCCTTCGAGAGGTCTGTTCGGTCGCACTAGTACAATTTTAGGCCCCGAAACGTAGGAGAGGTTTGGTACAGTACATCTCGCTTCAGGGCGAGATTCGACACTATCCTGAGTCGTCAGGGCCGAACCTACAGGGTTATCCTGAAGTTTCAGTCCGCAATATAACCATTATACTGATCTTACAGGACAAGATATTCCCTTATGCTGTTTTTTCAGGAGAAGCACACGTTACCTATCCTGAATTCAGGAGAATCAGGATAAATTATCCTGATAACATAGGCCCTGTATGCATCCAATCCATGTTGCGATAAAGGTGTGGCCAAGGAATATGCGGATATCTTTTACACCAGTTAATATTATTTTGATCTGGCATACTACTAAACTGTAAATTAGAATATTTTTTGCAATTGTGCTCTATACTTTGCTTCCTGGACCATTTTTGTTGGTTAATGTACAATAGCAATGAATTTATTCATGCGTTTACGGTCAATCCAAGCAGGGATCTGTGACGCACACGCATATCGACCTGCCCTATAACGCGTAAGCGGAAGAGAATCCCTTGATCTACCTTTCGGAATTCGCAGCACCTCGATTGACTGGAGGACCACCAGATTGATGACCGACCTGGCATCATCTGCCCCCCGCACCACATGTTAGAAAGCGAAGCCGATCCGTAGCGGCGATTGATACATGTGTTTCAGAGCGCTATAGGCGAGAGTGCGGTGATGTGAATCGCGAGGTTTATTGCTCCTGGCCCCTCTCACGGTCCCTTGTTGTGCTGAACACGGGAAGCAAAGAGCGGAACTCCAGATTGCTCCCCGCCCCGCCCTCCCCGCCCCGCCCTCCCCGCTCCGCCCTCCCCTCCCCACCTTTCCTGCCCCCGCCTTCCCACTCCGCTATCCTTTATCTACTCTCCCCCCTCCGCTCTCCCCGGTTCGCTCTTCCGGTCCCGCTTTCCCCGTCCCGCGAGAGCAACCTCCCGCGATGGCCTTCCGACTAGCCTCTCTGGCGCGCAGACCCGCCGTTAGTTACGCCGCTAGTCACGCCGCAAGTCACGCCGCGAGCACCGCTGCGGGCCACACTTCCCTGCCGCTGCTCCAGCAGCAGCACGCCGCAGCAGCAGCGTACGCGCGGGGATTCCTGGGATCAAGCGCAACGAGAATAGCAGCAGCAGGAGCAGCAGGAGCAGGAGCAGCAGGAGCAGCAGGAGCAGCAGGGACAGCCGGAGCGGGAGCAGGCCGTTTAAGAGCGGTGCTGTGTGCTGGCGTGAGTGTGTCGGCGAGATCCGCGGTCTTGCAGGCCTTTGGAAGGAGTGCGGGTAGGAGTGGATCAGCTGCTGCTGCGCTGACAACAGGAGCAACCGGAGTAACTGGGGCAACAGCAGCAGCGGCAGCAGCAGCGGCAGCGGCAGCAGCAGCAGCAGCGGCAGCGGCAGCGGCAGCTAGAAGCTACTCCGTTCCTTCTGGCATCGCAGTTTCCCTGAGCTCGCTGAGGCAAAGAATACAGCAAGCCGTGCAGCAGCAACACCAGCATCACCAGCAGCAACAGCTGCTGCTTCTGCCACGGCTGCTGCAGCAGCAGGCGAAGCTGAGCTTTCAACCTCTCGCGCTCCCTGGCTCCCGTGCTCAACCCGTCACTCGCATCCCTCTTCAGGCTCTCGCCTTCACACGAACCTTCACCTCCAGAAGTTTCGCCTCGTGGGTGCCTCAACGTGGCCCGCAGTGGCTGCAACGCCGACAGTCGTACGTCCCCCCCTAGCCCTTGCGAATTAGGTGACTTCTGAGTCGACTCAAAAGTCACCCCCCAGTCCCTTGCAATTTAGGTGACTCTTGAGTCGACTTAGAAGTCACCCCCCAGCCCTTGCGAAATTCCTTCTTGGTCTTACCAGTTCCCTCCTTGCCCTTGCCAATGCTCGTCTCGCCCTTGCCATTTCTCTGTTCCTCATGCTCTGCTCTTGCTCCTACTGTCCTCGTGCATGCCCTCTTCACAACTCCACCCAACCTCGCTTTCTCCCACCCCACCTCTCCCCCCGCCTGTCCCATCCCTCCACTGGTCCCCCCCACACCTGTCCCCACACACTTGTTCCCCCCCACCTTCCCCCCCCAGCAAGCAGTCGTGGGCGTCAGGGCATCCTGATGCTGTGGTGTGGGCGCTGATTGCTCTGAACGTGGGTGTGTTTGCCGCATGGCACACACAGAACCAGACCGTCATGGCCCGTAACTTCATGGTGTGTGGGGAGGGAGGGAGGGAGGGAGGGAGGGAGGAGAGGGGGAGAGGGTGCCATTACCATTATGCATGGGTGCAAAGAGGGCCCTGTATCATGGGACGAAATCCCAGCATTCTACACCTCTTGTTCCTCCTCAATCCCTTTCCCCCCTCTCCACCCAACCAACCCCGCTCACACATGCGCACTCGAACCCTCACTCACCCTCACTCACCCTCACTGACTCACTCACTCACTCACTCACTCACACTCGCGCCCACACTCACACCACACTGACACCCTCACTCACAACCTCCCTCACACCCCCTCACTGTGTGGCAGGTGTCAGTGAATGCGATGTACGAGGGGCGCTACCACACGCTACTCACATCCGCCATTAGCCACCGTGAGGGGCGTCACCTGCTCTTCAACATGCTCGGCCTCTACTTCTTCGGCTGCGAGGTACGAGCTTTGAGTCGTCTCAGAACTGCCTGACCTGCGCTGCGAGATAACGAGTCACTTGTGAAAGTATGAGCTTTGAGACGTCTCAGAATTTCTTCGCATGCGTGGTAACCTTCTCACGATCCTCGATAGCCACCTGCTCTTCAACATGCTCGGCCTCTACTTCTTCGGCTGCGAGGTACCGAGTCACTTGTAGAGTTGCGAGGAAGCAAACTACTTAAAGCTGCCATGCCAGTTAAGTATCTCAGTAATAAGCTGTGAAGTAACAAGGTAAGTATCTCAGTAATAAGCTGTGAAGTAACAAGGTAAGTATCTCAGTAATAAGCTGTGAAGTAACAAGGTAAGTATCTCAGTAATAAGCTGTGAAGTAACAAGGTAAGTATCTCAGTAATAAGCTGTGAAGTAACAAGGTAAGTATCTCAGTAATAAGCTGTGAAGTAACAAGGTAAGTATCTCAGTAATAAGCTGTGAAGTAACAAGGTAAGTATCTCAGTAATAAGCTGTGAAGTAACAAGGTAAGTATCTCAGTAATAAGCTGTGAAGTAACAAGGTAAGTATCTCAGTAATAAGCTGTGAAGTAACAAGGTAAGTATCTCAGTAATAAGCTGTGAAGTAACAAGGTAAGTATCTCAGTAATAAGCTGTGAAGTAACAAGGTAAGTATCTCAGTAATAAGCTGTGAAGTAACAAGGTAAGTATCTCAGTAATAAGCTGTGAAGTAACAAGGTAAGTATCTCAGTAATAAGCTGTGAAGTAACAAGGTAAGTATCTCAGTAATAAGCTGTGAAGTAACAAGGTAAGTATCTCTCACCCAATCTGCCTTTTGAGGCGCCTCAATGAATAAGCTATGAAGTAACGAGGTATGCATCTCAGTAATAAGCTGTGAAGTAACAAGGTAAGTATCTCTCACCCAATCTGCCTTTTGAGGCGCCTCAAAGAATAAGCTATGAAGTAACGAGGTATGTATCTCAGTAATAAGCTGTGAAGTAACAAGGTAAGTATCTCTCACCCAATCTGCAAAAGGGCATAGTACCAGCTCTCGCCCGCTTTCGAGACATCTCACAAATCTTCCCCACTCCTCCATCCCTCGCTTCCCCCCAGGTGGCATGCATATGTGGTCCACGCTTCCTGCTGGGGCTATACACGTCGGGGGCAGATAATTGAGACGTCTCATCCCAAGGACACCTCAGTATGTTATCACACATTCTTTTCCCCTCTTTTTCCACCCCCCCACTCCCCCCCCCTCCTCCCCCAGGTGGCGCGCATGTACGGGCCGCGGTACCTGCTGGGGCTGTACGCGTCGGGGGCAGTGGTGGCATCGCTGGCTCACGTGTTCTACTTTCAATACATCGTGCCCAGGACCGATGTGAGTGGGAGGTGGGGAGGTGGGGAGATTGGGACGTAGGGGGTTGAGGGTTGGGTCCAGGGGCATGCGGGAACGAATGTGAGGGCGGGAAAGAGGAGCGGTGGTGGCGTCACTGGCAGGCACACGTGCTTTACTTCCAGTTCATCGCACCTTTGCTCCCTGCCCTTCCATCCGTTTCACTCTCTTCTTTCTCATCTTTGCCTCTTCGCGTTTTGATTCACGCCATCTTTGCTTCGCCACGTTTTGATTCCAGAAAAAGTCTGTGTGGGCTTGGCATCCCCGCCTCTCGCCTCCAGCCATGGTAAGAGATGAACCACACTGCGCCGCACTGCCCTGCACTGCACCACGGTCTGCTCCAGGTGTGTTTCGAGTCGACTCGAAACACACCACGATATGCACCGAACTGCACCCCGCACTGTGCTTTGCATTGCAACATGCCCTTTGCCGCCACTTTTGAACACCGATGCTCCTGCTCCTGCTCCAACTCACGTGAGGTCCTCATGCGTGGAGCACGGTGTTCCTTGCTACCACATGACATGACATGACATGACATGGCAGGGTGCCAGTGGAGCAGTGAACGCCATAGTGCTCTTCAGCTGTCTGCTGCAGCCCACGCGGATCATCTACCTCAACTTCATCATCCCCGTGCCCTCCATTCTACTCGTAAGATGTGCCTTTCGAGCCAACTGAGTAGGAATTGTTCCTTGTGACATTGTAAGGGGAGGTGGATGTTGAGGCAACTCCAAAAGTGCTGCAGTCCTGCGTTCCATCTTCCTCATTTTCATCATCCCCCACGCCCTCCATTCTGTCTTGTGATATGCGCCTTCTAATTCCCTCCATTTCATTTTCCTTGGAATTCGACCTCGCCGTCTCACGCTCTTTTGCTCTCTCGCTCTTTCCCCGTGTTCACTCATGCAGGCAGGCCACCAGCACAAGATTGATCAAACCGATTCTTTTTCTCTTCCAGTCACTGCCTATGAGCTTGCAGTTCAGCCTTATCCCAACCATCCCTACTTTCCTCATTCTACGTCTCCTTTGTCAAACTCTTTTTGCTTGTCTCTTTCTTTTGCAGGGAGTGCTGTACGTAGGGCAAGACCTGTATGGAGCAGCCATGGTCAGTAACTCAGTGAACCAACCCAGCCACAACACACCATACATGCCCCACTGGATATCTCACACGAAGCTCTTCCCACTCCTCATCACCGTGCGCTCTCATCACCACTCCTCTTCTGTTATGCCCTTTTCGTGCCCAAGCAATCGCTCCTCTCCTCTCACTTTCGCTCCTCGTCGTCTTCCTCCCTCAAATGCCCCCAACCTCTCGCGTGTCACACTCGCCTGTACCCCACTCTTTCTACCATGCACAGCACACATGCATGCTATCATTCTGTGTGCTATGATTTCCTCGTCCATGTCTTTTTGCACTGTGCCACACAACCTTTTTTCCAAAACCATTCCCTCCAAAACCAACCTTTGTCCTTCTCTTCGTTGTCAACCATCCATCCCATTCCCATACATATTAAGCAAGGCAATGAAAAGGTTGCCTGCGGAAATCTCAACAGCCGCTTTCCTGTCCCTGTGCCCTTTTCCCTCCCACCACCACTGCACCATCATCATACCGTTTCCCTCAGGGCGGATCACGCATCGGGCATGCAGCTCATCTAGGGGGTGCTGCAGTGGGCGTGGCTGCATGGGCCCTCAAGCGGGGGCGCTACCACTTCCGGCGCTAGAATAAACTAATCGCAGTGCACGCTGTATTGTGATGCAACCTGTACAGGCAGTGTGGGCTGTGCTGCCTGGTGTTGCCCTGCCCAGTCTGCCTGCATGCACCCTTCATACTGTGGGCCACCAGCAGTGGGTACCTACAGTACCTCACCTTGCCATTGACATTGTACCACCACTGTACACAGCCAATGCAGCTGGTCTGCAGTGGCTGGAAGTAGCACCAAGTAATTCCAGCATTGTAGCGCAAGCTAACTTCTGCAATGTGTGATCTCCAGTCCACACTGTTACCGTAACATTGGTTCCTCCTACGTGTGCCGTTGCACCTGATCCTAAAATATTTGGCCCAGTGGAGCCCTTTTTTGGGTGAACGTTGAAGGAAGCGGTGCTGCTATGGTGCTGGTTGTTGATAATGCGCTGGCTTAGGATGGACGGGCGGGGGCTGAATTAAACCGAAATATAAAATAGTGAACCCTGTCCCATCTTGAAAGTGGCTGCCGAAAACGGGCCGTTCGAGCACTGTTCCAAACAAAACGAAAAGCACCATGAGCAAATGTGATTGGCTGTCGCCAATCTTTGATTCTTCATGTTCCCGCCAATTGTTTTTTCCCTGCGGATCTCCTCTGTCGCATGTTTCGTGCTACCCCTGCACGACTCTTGCCAAGCGATGGTTTCGATCGCCAGGCCAAAGTTGGTTTCAAGCTGGAACTGTGTTTCATGCTAGTTGCTCTCCGTCCCGTAATCACTAGTTTCATTCCTAGCATATTATAGCTGACAACAATAGATGTTTGTGGCCAAGCTAAGGAACTAACGACCCAACAGGAATGCGTAAGACTGTTACATAGCGTTGTATCGTAATTTTATTCCCTTCCGTAGCCTATTCTCAGAAACAGAATACAGCGGAATGAGTAGCATTGATTGGGTTGGGGTACATATGCCTAACCCTAACTGTTTGTACCCCATATAGCATGACCCACAATAGGCTATAACATTTGACACACCCCCATAGCCTAAGTGGGGAATGCCAAGCAACAAGAAACGCAACCTAAGGTCACAAGACCAGTCACAAACAAAAGACAAAACAAGCTCAGGGTGGATCACAACGTCACCACACAGTCTGAGCGCAAACAGCGGCCACAAGGCCAGTTCAAGAGTGTATATGCAATTATATGCAGTACAAGCAAAGACAAAAGACAAGCACTCACTACTGAAGTCTACTCGACCCAGTCTCAACGAGGCCCAACTGCAGACAGAACCGGCGGTGGTCACAAGGCTGAAGAGCCTTGGTGAAGATGTCTGCAGTGTTGGCCTCGGAGGCCACGAAGTCCAGACGAGCCTGCCCGCGTCTCTGCAACTCTCGAAGGAGGAAGTACCTGACGTCGATGTGCTTCACTCTGCTCTCCAGTCGAGGCTCACGACACAGGAGAATCATCGCCCTGTTGTCAGCAAACAGGGTCGGTGCAGAGCTCGGCCGCTCACCAAGGTCAGTGAGCAGAAAGGTCAACCAGCGTAGCTCCTGAGCAGCAAGGGCCCCAGCGTAGATCTCGGCCTCTGCGGTAGAAGTCGCAACCGAGGAGGACCGAGTAGACCTCCACGAAACAGCTCCAGAACCCAGGCTGAAACAGTAACCCTGCGTAGACCTCTGAGTCTCAACGTCGTCGGCGTAGGAGGAGTCGCAGTGACCGGTGAGTACAACTGGCTGTGTCCCTCCAAGTACAAGCCCCATGCCTGATGTCGCGCCAAGGTACTTCGCCACCTTCTTAGCCGCCGCCCAGTGAATAGGACGGTGTCTCCCAGTCGCAACAAAGCGAGACAGGATGCTAAGAGGGAAGGCGAGGTCCGGGCAAGTGCACGTCATCAGGTACATGAGGCAGCCCACCAGCTCTGCGTAGGGACCACTGGGCTCGAACGGCTCGTCAGGAAAAGGCCCAGTGAGTCTGTGGTCTACAGCAAGAGGAGTGGGGGCAGGAGAAGAGTCCTGAAGCCCGAACCGCTGAAGGACCTGCTGCACCATGTGTGACTGAGTCAGAGTGATGGTGCGAGCGGCTCTGTCCCTGGAGATCTGCAGGCCAAGGTAGCGGCGCAGTTTTCCCAAGGTCAGTGCAGGTGTGTCTCTTCTGCAGTTCGGACTTCACCTCCGCCAGTGCAGCTGTGTCGGCTGTGGCAAAAACCAAGTCGTCAACGTAGACCAGAACGAAGAAAGGTGTGCGCCCACGACGAACAAACAGCGACGGGTCGGCGGAAGACGGCTCAAACCCGAGGTCGGAGAGAGTAGAGCGGAGAGTGTCGTGCCACTCACGGGGTGCCTGGCGGAGACCGTAGACCGGTCGTCTGAGGCTCCACTGGGTCCCAGGCGGGAAAGTGCCAGTGAAGCCCGGAGGACGACGCAGCCAGATCTCCTCGTGTAGGCGGCCCTGGAGAAAGGCAGTGGAGAAGTCAAGAGAGTGAAGCTCGTAGTCTCTCTGCGCTGCTACGTGTAGTAACACCCGAAGAGTGGTCATCTTCGGGGTGGGCGCGAAGGTCTGAAAGAAGTCAACTCCCTCACGCTGACTGAACCCTCTAGCCACGTAGCGTGCCTTGAAGACTGGGGGAGATCCCGGCGGCCGCTTCACCTTGAAGATCCACATGCCGTCAACGATGTTCGCCCCTGGGGGGGGAACCTCGTCAACGTAGGTGCCTGTGGATCTGTAGGAAGCCATCTCTGCGTCCATGGCAGCTCTCCACTGAGAGGCCCAAGGCCCTGACACTGCCTCAGCGTAGGTGCGAGGAGTAGGTATGTCAGGAGCGTCGGGGTCTCCCTCAGGAGTGAGCAGCATGGCACAGAGATGAGGTGAAGCAGCTGCCAGGAACTCTAGCTCAAACTGTCTGTCCTCTAGGACGTCACAGCCAAGGGCAGACTCACCCCCGGCGGACAGAGGACGGACAGGAGGAGCGGCCACAACACGAGTGGCGTAGTCAAGGCGACGCGTAGCAGTAAAGTCAGTGACAGCGGCAGTGAGGACCGCGACGGAGGAAGGAGAGGCACGAGGGTCTGTAACAAGAGAGGCGAGAACACGAGAGAGAGTGGGGCGGTACGCGCGGTAGTAGTCAGTGACCGGAGTGGACAGGGAGGCAGTGAGGGACGACTCAGGAGGACGAGGAAGGACAGACGGAGGAGAACGAGGAGGACTAGGACGAAACAACACGGTACGGAGGTCAGTGATAGGGGACGAGGGACGAGCACGAGGAGGACGAGAGGCCCAAGTGTGGGCGAGAGGAGGGGGGGACGGAGGAGACCGAGAACGAGGGAAGACAGCCGGAGTGGAGTCCGGAGGAGGAAACGTAGGACCGAACACAGGAGGAGAGGAGGGGAGACCAAGGGCCCGAAGGCCAGAAACAGGTGCCGGAGGCTGCTCCGGCTGCTGCGGCTGCTGCTGCTGCGGCGGCGGCGGCGGCTGCTGCGGCTGCTGCTGCTGTTGCTGCTGCTGCTGCTGCTGCTGCTGCTGCTGCTGCTGCTGCTGCTGCTGCTGCTGCTGCTGCTGCTGCTGCTGCTGCTGCTGCTGCTGCTGCTGCTGCTGCTGCTGCTCTCGCTGCAACTCCAACCTCTCACGCTCCACCCGCTGCTGAACCTCCAACCTCTCACGCTCCAAACGCTGCTGCTCCTCACGCTCAAGACGAAGACGGGCCTGGTGTCGAGTCGGGTAAGGGTGAGGAGGAGGAGTGGTGTCAGGAGACGACGAAGAAGAACCTGCTCCGCCCTCGACAGAACCCGGCTGAGCACCCCCAGAGCGAGGACCCCTCGCGGCAGCACGACCAACACCTGTGGGAGGTGTACCCGCACCCCCAGCCGTGGTGCCCCCAGTAGCGCCAGCACCAGCCCCAGACTCTCCAGCTCCAGAAACACCACCAGCTCCAGCACCACCACCAGCTCCAGTACCCTCGGAACGGGCAGCTGCGGCAGGTGCACGCTCAGCGCCAACGCCAACACCCCCTGAACTGGCTGCTCATGTAGGTGCACGAATAGCTCCAACGCCAGCACCCCCAGAGCGAGCACCGCCAGAGCCCTCTCCTCGAGCACCAACACCCTCAGAGTCCGCAGTGGCCGGTGAAGGAAGCGGCGACGGCTGCTGCGGAGGCGGTGAGGACGACTGTGGGGAAGGAGGAGAGACCTGGGGGGGTACCGAGGGAGGGGGAGTAGCGTGGGACACACCAGACGGAGCGGGAACAGGGGGGGGTACCGGAGGAGTAGGGTCGGGAGGAGGAGGAGCTGGAGCCAGGAAGAGGGGAGGGGGGGGAACCGGGAGACCTCGAGAGGGGTACCTGACGTAGTAGGGGACGGACTCGTCGAAACGGACGTCACGAGAGTCAAAGAACCGGTGGGAGGGTGGGTGGTAAAAGGTGAAGTCAGAGGAGCCCTCTGGGAAACCAAGGAAGACACAGGGGACGGCGCGAGGCGAGATCTTGTCCGCAGAGGTGTCGCGGACAAGAGCCAAGCAGCCCCAGACACTAAACCTCGACGCAACACCAGGAGACCCTGTCCAAAGACTGGTCGGTGAAGCCCCTGGCCGAGAGACGCGAGGCCAGAGGTTCAGCTGGTGAGCGGCGTACCGAGCCGCGTAGGGCCACAGAAAATGGGGCGCGCGGGCGTGGATCATGGAGGTGCGGGCGATCTCCATGACCAGGCCTAAGCGGCGCTCAGCAACCCCATTCTGCTGTGGAGAGTCTGGAAGAGTCCAGGACTGGGTGATGCCCTGCTCAGCACAGAATCTGGCGAGAATGCCGGAGCGAAACTCACCCCCACGGTCGGAGTGGAGACAACTGACACGACGACCACGAGTGCCCTCGGTGGCGAGGAGCCACCGGATCAGCGTAGAAGTCACGTCGGACTTCTTCGCCAAGGGGAACACGGTGGTGTACCGAGAGTAATCGTCAACGACCACCAGAAAGAAACTCTCCCGCTCAGGGCCAAGGCGGGAGGCGGGGCCCCAGACGTCTAAGTGGAGTGTCTGGAAGGGCTCGGTGGCCGGAC